GCAGGAACAGAGAAAACTGGAAATATTTTACATCCTTCTTAACACCCTGGATCACTTAAATGTTTCTGAAAGATGGACAATAATATTTAGTAAATCCTTTTGTGATTGATTGCTTGTACCTTAGTACCTGTGAATTCAAATTATCCTTCTGCTATGCCTAAGAACATGGTTTTCAACTTTGTAATATGCATTTTTAACACAAGTGTATTACTCTAAACTTCATAGCTCTTTTCAATATTAGGATCCTGGCAGGATATCTATCCTAAATATTTTATAGTGCAGCAACACTTAAATGGGAAGACTATTACAGTTAAAGGGGATAAAGAAAAGTCTTGTAATTAAAGCCAAATTATATTATAAAATAACAGTATTACAAGTGAAGATTACAAACTTTTTTTTTTTTTTTTTTTTTTTTTTTTTTAAATTTAGATCAAAGGTGGAAATACATGCAGTATACGCATAAAAGCACCATAAAAGTGAATGTGAAGGTCACTGCCGTGCCTGGTTTGGAGCACTTTTGGTTCCTGGTGTTCACGGCCTAGTTTGTGTATCACCCTTCTCCAAAACACCTTGTTTAAAGCCACGTCAATTGTCAGGTGCCAGAACAGAGCTGGACGCAGCTGTGTTGTAGATGAGGATTTGTGCTCTATAAAACACAACCACTGAAGTGCTGTGGGATTGACGGTGCCTTAGACATCAGCTGGTCCTAACAGGGCAACCAACCCCTTCTAGTCCAAGGAAATCCACCTCCACAGAGCACAAACATAGAAACGAACAAAGAGCAGGATGCCTCAAATGAAATTAGAGACATGCAGATTTAACTCCTTCCATAACCAGAAATGGAATAAAGAAATGCATTCTCTTTTAGAGAAGGAATTGGTTCCGGTAATGCTGTACCTTGCCTTGGGAGAAAGAAGAAGCCTTTCTACCGTAAATGATTCTTCTCCAGGACTGATGTTTTTCTGCCACAGGATGGACTCTGCAGTGGGGAGAAAGGGAATATGAGGCTTAATGACTGCTTTGTGCTGGCTTGAGCTGGCAATTGAGAATTAAACTCAGTGTAAACATGAATTTAAAATATAAAAAGGTCTTTTTCTCCATTTTATTTTT